TTGACCGTAAGGTGGTACAGTGTCAATACAGAAGCATCTTCGCAGGGACACTGGTGGTCCTGCCGGTGTTGAGTTACCGGTGGAAAGTGGGGGACTCCCTTCTCGGCTTCGTTGGAGCCGTCTCTATGATCTTCAACTTTGTCCTGCGAGCGACAGCTCCGGAGTCCTGGATCCTCTACCTAGGTCAGTTGACGGATGTATTTTGTTGCTTGCCAACACGGCTTTCAATTTTTACATCCAGAAAACATCACGTTTCACGAAATGTGCCATAATAGGTAATATTTTATAAACATTACAGGGAACATTGGCCTGGGTTTAACACTCATTTCTGAATTGCATTCAAACAAAAAATTTATACTTACATTGCCAACATATAAATAGTCCACAAAGGATGACCCTCACCAGGATGCAACCCAAGGGGCAGGTCAGGTGTTCGACCTTGGGGAGACCTCATTAAAGGCCTAAAGTAAAGTTTATATAGCTACTTACACGCGGGCTCACCACAGCCCGTGCTACATAGACACTTCGTTCTGAGTAGCTAAATCTAAAACAACAACAGCTACTTACAGTATAGACTGACTATATACAAATGACACCGTCATCTTAAAAAAAGGCAAAAAGCGCTCAGCAGAAAACTACCTACCAATCAACCTAACCTCACACATCTGCAATCTCTTAGTTCACTTTCAATTAGGATAGAATTCTAAGCGAGAGGAATGGGTCATCATTTCAATGTGCTCACGTTGGTAAAATCAACACAATTTTGATTTTATTAAAAATCCTGCCTTACGAACCTGCTCACAATTTTTGTAAACGATAATTCAAAAATTTATTTAATGTAGTGTTCAAGTGAATGCCTTAACGGTTTGTCACAAAGTTTACAGACTGAATATAGTGGTAGTGGCTAACTAACCTGCCAGATGTACCTATCGCTACGGCGATTTCGCGCAATGACTACATCATATTGTCTGCTCTGATTACTGTGCTGACCATACAGATACTCGTTTTACAAAAGTTGTCATAGCTTTTAATACTGTAGCTTTCAGGGCTTTGAGCATTTCTTAATTCAAAATCTGAAATAATTTCTTTGTTTGTAATAATATTATTAGATAATCCAAAGACACATTCTGTATTTTCTTTCTTGCAAACCTAAGTGGTCAGTCGACCTACAAAGTCAGGCTTTCCACTTCCAACATGGGATGCTATTATTCGTTGCCAAAAAGTCACATTTCATGTACTTTAGCAGATGCTTCTTCACCCATGCGGTTTTAAACCCATGGAACCGATTACCCGCCAAAGTCGTCGACGCGAAGACGTTATTCCCGTTCAAAATCCATTTGGAAACAATTCTCAGGAGCAATGGGGAAACTTTTGGGAATTCGCGTGATTACTGTCCCCCGTCGAGGCCATTAGAGATATAGTGACCTTCAAGTAAATTTACACACAGGTTTTTTTCCCGACAATGGGAATTAAAATTATATTTTTTTCTGACGAACTGTTCCCAAAAAAATTGTAAACTGATTTTGATTAAATTTTGCTTTTGCTTCAGATTTCTGTCCACGGAGTAATCATTAGCAGTGATAACAGTTAACAAAAAAATCACAGCGTTATGTTAAAAATCTTAACTTTGTTAGACAGAAGAAGAGAAGCGGATAGGCCAGTAATACCAAACCGGGAGACGTTATGTGTACTGGAAAAGTGCTATAGGACTGAATTTCATTAATTTTATTCTAAATGCAGCATCCACTAGAAATTCTTTATTTGAAATATTTAAATATAGTCTTAAAGATCCAACAAAATTTTATCAACATTGAATATGTGCAGTCCTAACTCATTTTTAGAATAACATTTACATTTACAATTCTAAGACAAGATACAAACAATTGTAAGATTCAAATGAAGATAAGAATCAGTGCTCTAGACACATTTTAGAATGTGTCTAGAGCACTATTATATTTAATTAATATAATAGGACACTACCATAATTCATCCAGGTCAATGTGTTTCATAGATCAAGTTGAAATAATAAAATACATGTTAAAGAGATAGAGTAGCTTAGGCTATTTCTACTGTTTCATGGTAACAGCGTCGGTGGTGGGCGTGTGTTCCGGCATGGTGGTGGTGTGCTCCAGGGCAGCCATTTCCAAGCTGGTCAACAAGGACGAGTTGGGAGCCGTCTTCGCTCTCTCGGGTGCTGGCGAGGCGGTAATCCCCATCGTGTCTTCAGCCATGATGACGCCCATCTATAATGCCACTCTCGACACCTTCCCGGGAACTGTGCTCGTCCTGGCCGCCGGCGTCAGCGTCATCATCGCCGCCTTATATGTGTAAGGCTTTGACCGGCTGGTGCAGGAGTGTCAGTGCTTCTCTGTGTAGCACTCACACCACCACTATAATTATATCTGTTGAGGCTTTATCCTATATTTCATGACCTTCACACATTATGCATGTTTCATAACATACTTATACGTTGTTATTGACAACTACACCTCTTGTGTGTGACCCACAGGTGGATGATGACCTCAAGCTCCAGTACTCGCCGGGAGGTGGTGTCCAGCAGTATTGATGACTGACTTGGTGTGATAATCAAGGTAGTGTGGTGAGGACGCCCTCGTAGGTCATCAGAGCTCGTAAACTGTTAAGTGAATACCGATTAAGCCGCCATGGTCGAATAAGAGATAGTTATGTCGTAAGTTGACACTAAAGTGCGCGTGACCTCTGACCATCGCACTTCGTACTACTTTCCTCGTTTGGATTAGTTATTGACGTTCAGAGAAGAGATGAAATTGATATTATGAAGGCATCATACTTGCCCTGAGTGGAGAGGAATACAATCTATAACACGTTTTGTAAACGTGTAAATTTATCTCATGAAGAAATATGTCTTGAGCTGACGTCGTTTCCTTTATAACTATTATTTCAAAACTGAAACAAGCAAGGTTTTTGTTGACAATAAACAGTATTACTATTTTGTTGCTTTTGATTGTATTGTATGAAAAGTATTGCATTTCGCTGAACCCTTAATACTTCGGGGCTTCTCCCCCGAATCAACCTACCCTGGCTTTACACCCTGGTGAGGCCACTCCAGACCGACAACCAGAGCGCAACTCCATAGTCTCCTGAGACTGATGGATGCCTACTACTAATATGTATGTTTTAACTATTACCATATATAAATCTTGTAGAACAAATCCAGAGGTGGACAAGTTACAAGTGCCAGCTGCCCACAGCGTCTCAGGATGATCTTGAATACCAAGGTTCTCCTCTGAGTCATGTTCAGGTCATGACATCCTCAATGGAGGTTACATACCTTGAGGTTACCTTGAGGTGCTTCCGGGGCTTAGCGTCCCCGCGGCCCGGTCGTCGACCAGGCCTCCTGGTTGCCGGACTGGATACCACATGGTATGGATATCATACTTTTGACGTCATTGTTTTGTGTGTTCTCTGCCTTGTATTAGCTCCCTGAATGCTATCTAAAGTGGCCAACTGGAAATTATACCAACAGGAATTTGAAAATAACTTGAACTTGAAAAGAACCGCCTACCCGCTGAAGCCGTAACGCCAAAACTATGCTGGGTTTTAAAATACAGCTGAGAATGATCATCAGGGCACATGGGGGGACCTTTGAGAAACCGCCGGCTTCCTGTCCTCATAGTGACCACTAGTATTAGTGACCTTAGATAAATTTATTATATATATATATATATATATATATATATATATATATATATATATATATATAGAGAGAGAGAGAGAGAGAGAGAGAGAGAGAGAGAGAGAGAGAGAGAGAGAGAGAGAGAGAGAGAGAGAGAGAGAGAGAGAGAGAGAGAGAGAGAGCGAGAGAGAGAGAGAGATCTGTTCTGTAACACACACGGTGCTATATATGGCCTTCCGAACATGGCACATTCTTTTGGCAGTTAGTTACTCGCTTACAATATACCACAACCATAACATTTCTTACTGTTTATTCTGAAATAAAATTGTCATTTTGAACACTAGTAGTCGTAAACGGCCTTTATCCTCACGGTCCCTCATCACCAGTGACACATTTCTTATCAGAAGGGCAAGGTTAACCGATAAATAAATAATCTGATGTCGTTCTCTGGGACACCTGTCGTCTGTCATTATGTGTGGGGACCACAACCACGAAGTGGGCAGCTTCACGTGGGCGGATTGATACCATCATGGAAGCTGCGTGCTTGTGGTAAACACCAAAAATTCTTCCTCTAAAGCTGTCTAAAGAGCTGTACCAGAACCCACAGCTTTCAGAAAAGACCTATATCTTACTCATAAACCACATAGCTTCATCACAGAACCCATAGTTTGATCATAAACACGATATAGCTTGGTCACGAAACTCGTAGTTTGCTCATAAACCCTATGTCTTGATCACAAAACCCATAGTTTACTTGCAACCCCCAAAGCGTGATAACAAAACCCATTGTTTGCTCATAAGCTATATGGTTTTATATAAACACACACTAGTACAGCGAATATGTATGCAGGGTGCATACAGTACATACATCAAGAAGCAGCGTATACCTCACGGAGATGTACTGTATATCCCATGTACTCTCATCTTGGTATTTCTCTGCATCTAGAGCTCTGGATATAACATCGTAATTTTTTCAATTAATAAATACTAACAACAATATAAAATATAAATGGTTGGGCGCGTTCCCTATCACCTAATGTTCCCGTTCACCTAGCAGTAAATAGGTACCTTGGAGATAGCTTGTTGTGGGATTGCGTCCAGGACCTCGATACAAGCCTAACATGTATATATACACTTACTGCCTGTCCACTGACATAATGAATTATTAAAGTATTATTACATGCCCAAAAAAACATATACAACATATATTACTTGTCATGATACAAGGGGCGTCAACGTTCCCAGATTGTAATGACTAACCTGATAGACTCGAAGCATTCCAGATATTCTGGTTTTATTGTTATTAACGTATTTGTCATTAACAAGGTCATCGACTCCAACCAACCGTATCAACAACATGATGACAATGTGACAACTCAACAATGAATTTTAAAAGTGAACGGGATACCTGAAAAGTGTTGTGCTTCCAGAGGCTCCGTTATTTTTAGTCGACCAGTACTGAGGCACTGAACCCTGTTTTCCCCAGCTCTGAGTAGCCTATTAAACGGTTAACACAATATTTGTGAAAATAAGTAAGTGAAGACTTCACGCTGGTTACATATCTTGTGGTGCTTATGGATGCCGAGATAGTATCTCCTCTATCACTAGGTGATCGCTTGAGATAACCCAACCATTCTTCCTACACACAACAGAGATCATCACGGACTGAGGTCCTGTACAGAGGATCTGGCGTTGTCCTGCCTTACACTACTGATTGTTTGATTGAAAAGCTGGACATGTGACATAGAGATAGTTTAAGTTGCGTTAAGACAAGTTGCGTTAACATATTTAAGACACCAGATCAAATGTGCATTGTTGGTTAATTAAATTTATACTTAAAACAACAAGTGTCAAAATGTTGTCATAAATTACAAAAGATCTGTTGAATAAACTGAACTGAGCGAAGATAAAAGTTTGAACGTTATCGTATCAAGTGAGCCAGAACAGTTATGATGTCTGAACATGGTGGTTGCGAGTACGGCAACCTTCTGGAGCAGCGGCCTCCTACCAAGAGTCTCCGTGCTAAACTTGCCACCTTCCTGGCGTCCATTACTGTAGAGCCAGCCATGTTCCTTCATGGCTTGGGATCGAGTATAGAAAGCATTTTCTATACCAACCTCTGTGTTGATAAAGTATGCCTCAATTATTATAAATATGGCAAAGACGTGTGTGGCAACTTAGATTCTGGAAGCTATGAATCTCAACAAGATGCTGTTCAACGGATGGTATCGACGTTTGAGGTTTATAAGCATTGGGTGGAATATATGCCAGCAATATTTGTGGTACTCTTTCTTGGAATATATAGTGACACCCGTGGTCGGCGTCTGCCAATACTCCTCCCCTTCTGTGGCTCGCTCATCAAGGCTCTTTTCTTAGTTGCCAACTCCTACTGGTGGTCCTGGCCGTTGCCAATGCTAATAGTCTCATTCTTTCCCTATGGTATCTCGGGAGGTATGATTGGCAGTTTTGCGGGAGCTTACTCTTACGTGAGTGACGCATCTGTTGACAAGTCTCGCACAACCCGTTTGGCCATCACTGGAGCGATGAGCTTAGTAGCCATGTCCCTTGGAAAGGTTAGTGGGACATACATCTACAGCAAAGGAGGGTACATTGCGATTTTTAGCACCCAAGCTATATTTTACGCCGCCTCTATACTGTATATTATATTAAGACTGAAAGAGAATCCAAGTGGATGTAGCCCTGAGACCATGGATTCGAGAAAAGAGTTGAAGCAGCGCTTGTTGTCTATTACGACCGTCAAGAGGACGCTGATGGTCGTGTTCAAGCGTCGGGAAGCTGGTGGTCGAGGCTTCATCATTGGCCACATTGCCGCCATCTGCTCTAGAGTGTTTACCACTGGTATGTATACAACTACAACACAGTAGATTTGTTTGTAATGTTCTCATAGCCAGGTAAATACAGTTTAAAAGTGGTTTGTTATATAAGACATTTTTCTTGTTGAACATTGGAATAAATTTTTAAAGCTACATTTATATTTCTACCATCAGGCAGCCTTCAGATGTTCTTCCTGTACATGAGGAAGAGGTTCGACTGGAACTATTATACATACAATATGTACTCCATCTTAACTATACCCGTTCTTTTTATTGGTAAGTATTTTCTTCACTTTTTTAACCAAATATGTTTATTATATGACTACAATAGCCATTGTCTGCAAGCTATCATCACGCCACGAAACCTAATACATTAACAAGCTGTCTTTTATGTAATTAAATAGTTGTGCAGGTGACCAAATATATAATCGACTAATAAATCTAAAGATATGGTACAATGTCGCTGACAAAATATTCACTATGTAGTGATAAATTTTTAAATATTTTTATTATATTATATATTAATATAAATATTTTATAATAAGATAAATATTTTTCATTTTACTCTTTATGCTCAATTAGTATTAAGCTTTAGTCATTTAAGTTTTTCATGCCCGAAACGCTTTGCGTAATAGTGGCTTTAGGCATTGTATGTACTAGCCTTAACTATTAATCCATCACTCTTTGTAAAATCTCTTGTATGTATGTACCTTACCTAAATAAACATTTGATTGATTTGATTTGATAAACGTAGAGAGAGAGCTGTGGCTCTGCTAGTCAACAAGGGTGGGAATTTAAAAACAAAAATCTTCTCAGGCTGCCACGGGAGTCATAACAATTGGTGGAGAGAAGGCAGCGGTGCGTGTAATATTCAGCCCCTCCTCATAAGGTTTCCCAACGTCAAGAAACTGTCGTACTAAAGTGCCCCTTATCCTAACCTACCAGAGGACCCAAAACAGAAAACGGGACAGTATGTCAATTTCGTGAGCCGCTACCATTTTCTAGTACAACAATGTTTGAACTTAGGTACAGTATACGTCAAAATGCAACGTTCTATAAGGATGCCGGGTTGATGCCCCTACTCCTCTTCCATTCCAGTGAACCACAAAAGAGCAAATCAAGATAATGACGACATAAACTGATTCTGAATATATGTATTTATTTTAAGGGGAGGCAGAGAGAACCCAAAGACTGAGAGCAAGGTTCTTAAGCATGAAGGAGCCCAACCATGCTGGAATTAATTAGGAAACAACGGATCTGACAGGGGAAAATGAGACATGGAGCTAAAACTAACAATAATGAAAATTAGCTCTATATTACAAAATATCAAAACACCGAAAGTGGTAAGAACCAACTAACGATATGCTGACAGTACCGTGTAGAGTAACTGCCCTAAAGATATGGGAAATTAGAATGAGATGTAAGAGAACTGGAACGCTAAGTACGAGATTCAGATAATCTCGTGCTAAGTACGTCCCCCTCCCTTCCCTCCCTTCCGGAGGGAGGGAAGGGAGGGGGACGGGGAGAGTAGGGCGGCTATTTCCAAATCTCCAAAAAGGAGGCAGCAGGTAAATATATATTTCAAATAATATGCACTTTTACGTCAATATAATTATCAAAATACGCAAATTACCACATTCTAGTACTAAAGAAATGAATTGAAATGGTAAACACGTTAACGTCCTGCTAGTTCTGCCTACCTGCCTAGAGCAGGATGTCTGACCACCCCAGGGGAGAGAAGACAGGGCACAGCCAGGTACCCCATCTAGTAAATACTAAAAAGAGTAGCCGATAGAATAGGACTTTGTGGAACACCAAAAAAAAGTGCTGAAACAAGTCTAATTGTGTCAAGTCTCATGGCTCAGATCACCCATGGATCTGTCAGAGAGCAAGCTAGATATAAGTCGACAGAGAGAGAAGCTGGAAACCCAAAGGATAGTAGCTTGGAGAAAAAAATTTAATCCATACCTTGCCTAAAACTTCAGAAATGTAGATATCTATAACAAAATATTCACCGAAATCACGAAATGACGTGGACCATATGTAATTAGTTGAATTATCTTGTAGTTTTTTATGCCATATTGCTAAATCTACCAAAACTAACAAGTATGTATATCTTTGACAGGGAACTTCATACTGCTGCCTGTGTTGAGTTACCGCTTCAAAGTCAAAGATGCTATGCTAGGCTTCATCGGAGGAATATCGTCACTCTTTCACAATGTGATGTTGGGCACAGCCCCCTACGCCTGGATTGTCTACCTGGGTTTGTTATGACTACTTATTTCTTAACTATATCCTGGTTGTGATATCACGCACGTTCATATATGAATAACATCACAATCAAAACACTTTTGTTGGTAAAACTAGTGCGATAATCAGGAATAATACCACTCCAGTTAATGTCTTTCAATTCTACTTTTAACTATCCCCTCCACAGCGTCGGCAGTATCACTGTGCTCCTTCATGTCTATCCTGTCGTCCCGGGGTGCACTGTCCAAGCTGGTGGCGAAGGATGAGCTCGGGTCAACATTCGCGGTGTTGGCGCTGGGAGAGACCCTCATTCCTCTGGTGTCAACACCAGTCTATACTCTCATCTATAATAACACGCTCGACATCTTTCCGGGGGCCATCTTCTTACTAACAAGCGGCTTCGATATTGCTTGCTGTTGCATCTACGTGTAAGGCTTAAAACTATGGACTTGTTGTGAAGACTGTACTCTATGTATATGGATTATCTAGTCAATCCAATATTAACAGGAAGAATATAAACGGTGATGCAGTCATCTTTCATGGAATTCATGGCAAAACCCACGCAAAAAGTGTACATCACATAAAAATATCGACTCAGTATTCACCATCAAAGATAGTCGTAAAAATAATCACAGATATACTTTACAGGCCACCTGATCAATTATTTGTAGTGGTTAAAAAAATGTTATAAGCAATTTGATGAAATATGCAAGGAATTTAAGTTTTTATAGTCTGAGATTATAATTTGCCAATATATAAATGGGACAAATGACTCTCTACAATGTACACACTGTAAAGAAAGCTTGCACAAATACTTTCATTGAATTTTAAATACAAATGAGCATAGTAAATAATTTATTTGACGGTGAAGAGTTCAGTTAATCATTGTCAAATCCAACTAAATCTAATATGTAAAAATAAAACAAATAGCAGATCATAAAATCAAAAGATTTTAAAACTTAAAGTTTTGTCAAAATATGTCAAGGGTTTTCAGAGTTAAATTGGAACATGTATGAAGTCTGAATAAAGTTTAGTAGATCATATAAATTGTTATAACACTTTCATATGCTGTTGCAAAAAAGACGGACACTTGTATGCACCAAACCATAATGTATGAATAATGGAATAAAATATTGTCTAACGTTCATATTATTGTTCATCAGTCTATTTCAAGAAAACAATAATTTGTTTTGGATCTAATGGGCACTTACGTACTATATGAACTCCTATAAATCCCTGTGTAATTCTCCTTTAATATAAATATTGAATGCACTCCTATTATTGTTTATCAAATCATTTTTGTTTCAGTTGGATGTTGACTAGAGAAGTTCCGCTGAGTGGCTACACGGCTATCGCCTGATTGTCAACACCCTTGGCCTTGGCTATCTTTTGGACACGTTAGATTGCTGCCGCAAATACTTAATCAACGCCTGTTTAGCCCTCTGGAGCTAATCGCCCTTAAACACCAAAATATCGTTATTCTCTTACAAGTGTATATAATAATTTAAATATATGTTTTATCTCTTGCAAGAATACAACTATTATAATAATAATTAATTGTGTCGGAGGACAGGCAGCCAGTGTGTATATAATATATTAGGCTTACATCGAGGTCCCACCCTCCCGAAGTTCGAACTAGACTGATTAATTCCAGGATACCTTTTTACTGCTAGGTGAACAGCTCATATAAAGTCTTACACAGGGTGAAAGACTTTATATGACCTGTGGGAGGTCTTATAAAGCCTGCAATCAGCCTTCTACAACTGTATCCTCTAGCCATAGTGAAAAATATTGTTACTAAAAGATCATCACGTACAATTCACAAGCGCGGACAACAGCAAATCATACCCAATAGCGTTCCACAACTTTATAAGACTAAAGGTGCGTCCATGCAGCTCCGACAGTGAGCTGATCAACTAACAGTCCCACAAGCTAAGCCCCCTTTCACTGACCCTTGCAAGCCACTTCATTCCCATAAGCAGCTACTGTGCTTTCATCCCAGAAATGAGTCAATCTGTTATCAATAGTATTATACTTTACGAGAACACCACAAACGTATTTGTATTATCTATTTGTATATTTTTCAACCTGTCTTCGAGGGTTATATACCTTCGTGATAATCATTTCAAACCCACTACGTACTTAGTGCTATTATCTACTGCCTATCCATGGTTAGGCTAGGTTAAGGTTAGGTTATGTTAAAACAGTATTATTCTCAAACATGTGAAATATGAAATTTAAAATTGTTTGAATATCCCATAGAATTATCAGATTAAAGAAAACTTAGACCTTAGAGCTTATGAAAGAAAACGAGCTTACCTAGGCTTTCAATATTTTAAACATTGAATTTTTATTATAATATAATTATAACATGAGAATATTCTCTGTTTAGGACAAAGGTTCACTTGCCTGTTTACAAGTAGACTATTATTGGAACTGTAATATGCTTTCAGACCATCACAAATATCCAGATAAGTATCCAGGTGGTCTAAGAGAGAGGTTGATGTCTCGATCTAATCACTTTAGCCTGAGAATGGATTGATATTTCTGTATTCATTCTTATTAAAAAGTTTTAATATGATCACACTTAACTTTCTGGTGATATCAGCAACCCTGGACCTGTTAGGCAACTATGGCTATTAAGTACGACACGTGCAAAGTCTCTCATTCCTAACTTTAAGCAATATTTTTTTCAATTTTTTTTTTTTGTCTCGACTTAAATGTTACTGGAGAACTACCAGTTTGTATAAACAGATACTAATAAAGCTTCTGATTATATATGCAATTCCTGTCAATTCCTATTAACATTCTACGACAAGCCGCCGGCTTCCTGTCCTCGTCGAGGCCAATAGTATTAGTGGCCCTCAGGTAAATTCAGGTATGTGAGAAGCCTTTTGATTCTACTGCTGATGTTACAAATACAAGTTCCTTAAACTCTACATTGTCTCTTCCGTGATTATTCCTATCAAAGTTTGGACTAAATTAATATAACCAGTGTCCACTTCTTAAATACGCCAGTTGGTTAACTGATTTTAACGATATGCAATCAAAGAAAATTCGACTTAAACAGCGTTTTGAAGACTGGCAAAAAGTCAGAAGAATGACAAATGTTTCCTAATATCGAAAATGTAATACCTTGCATGAGAGGAATAACAACTCACGTCACTACTGCCAAATCAGTAACATTACCTTGCAGCAATTTGAGGAAGAAAAGGACCTTTGAGTCAAAATACACTATTCCCTGAAAGAGGCACAAAAGGTAGGAGCATCAGTTAACAAAAACTAACCAAACCTTAGGAATAATCAAGCGTACCTTAAACTTTAAAATAAAGAAGGTAGTTATTCAACTGTATAAATTTCCGGTGCGCCCCCATTTTATTTATTTATTTACATACAAGAAGGTACATTGGGTTTATAGGAGTACATAGCATTGATGTTTTTACTTTCTTGTAAAGCCACTAACCCGCATGGCCTTTCAGGCAGGTCCTTATTCTAACAAATAAATTTAAGTAGGTAATTTCAAGCAAAATTGATAAATGTTAACAGGTACATTGTACAAAAAATTACGAAGATTAGTAGGTACATTACAGTAACTATAACTTCTTTGATGTATAACGTCTTCGAAGTAACTTCGATTATTGAATCGAAGCATGAAGATTTCATCTTCAGAAGGACATAGCCGTTTTGAAGTACAACACCGGGCAACAAAAATTATTCCAGAACTAACTCAGCTCGCATACAGGAACGGTTGAGGGCCACAGGGCCAACAGCAATGCAAACCAGAAATGACAGAGAATCTCGTCGAAACTTTTAAAATATTGAACAATTTGGAGAATGCTGATCTAGACACTTCAAAATGTCACATGTAACACAGACAAGGAACAACGGTTTAAATCTCAACTAGCCAAAATGTAGGACTGAACTCAGGAGATGCTTTTGCACCCACTGGGATATAAACTCCTGGACCCGCCTACCCGCCGAAGCTGTAAATGCCAAAAATCTGTTGAATTTTAAAATACAGTTAGAAAAAGCTTCAGGAATAATGGGAGAACTTTTGAAAAGTCGGCGGCTTCCTGTCCTCGTCGAGGCCACTAATATGTCATTTGCTTTCGGGTAAATCCAGGTAAATCTAGGTAATTCTCTCAGGATTCCACATATGACTAACCATCCTTTGAGATGGGGATATTATATGAAAGAGTTTTTTATCTACACTCTGAAATTGTCAATGAAACTGAAATTGAACAGGATAGCAGCACATTGCTGTGTATACCTAAGCTTGTTAATATAAAAAAACCATCAACTTTGAGTTACATAATGCTTAATTTAAATTTGTTTGAACTATACTTTTAATTAAATATTTTTACATAACATGAACCATCAATGTGAACAGGAAATAGCAGAGCTGCTTGGTCAAGCAAGTCACCTATATTCAGTATGCTTCTTATAGGTTATTAGCCTCAAAGGGAGAGTATTCTGTATTCTGCATCATGTAACCATTTATATAATATACCCAATTTCATATAAGCTCATTTATGAGCTTTTAAAATACCAATTGGTAATGAAATAATGGGTACAAGACAGGCGGATGGGAGCCTGTATCAGGGCCCCCTTAATTGTGGTGATGCGTCACTCGCGCTGTAGGGCGTTGCTTGCCACAGTTGCCAGTGCTGGTGCCTTATCACTCTCGTCGAGCCTCACCACATTCCACTTGCCTCACACACACACTGCACGTAGCCTTGCGTTCATACAGTGAAACCAAGAATGTGAGCGAAAGAAGTGGCGGAAATAGGGTAAGTATAATTTGGTTCATCGCTGTATATTGAATTGAAATAAATTATAATTTAGGCTTCTTCCAAATTCGCGGGTTTTAAATTTATCAATAATTATGTTCAAGATTAAAGTATACCCACATTATCTCGTAGTACAGTCGACTTCGTTCTCTACTCACAATCGGGGATCCTGGGTTCGATTCCTGGGCGGGACAGAAATGGTTGAACTATTTTCCTTTCACCTAATGCACCTATTCACCTAGCAGTAAATAGGTATCTAGGAGTTAGATAACTACGGTGGGGTTGCATCCTGAGGAGGGTCAGTATTTCGATCTTGGGAGGACATCGTTATACTGCTTCACTATGGAATCATGGATCCCTCCCTTCAATAAATTCCATCTTATCTCAGAACAGGCAACAGTATATTTCTGTGAACTATGCTAGTTCCCAACTCCAACACAACTCCAGATCTAGATGAGTTGTCATAATATATATATATATATATATATATATATATATATATATATATATATATATATATATATATATATATATATAGAACTTTAGAACACTTTCCCACCAGGAGACTCGAACCGTAGCCAGCACAGAAGCCTTCCAGCAACTGGCATAACAGATAATATATATATATATATATATATATATATATATATATATATATATATATATATATATATATATATATATATATATATATATATATATATATATATCTTTTTTTCTTTTTTTCTTTTTTTCTATTTTTTTCTTGTAATGTACCTGTTATTTTATAAATTTTGCTAGAATTTACCTACTTAAAATTATCTGTTAGATTAAGGACTTGCCCGAAACGCTGCTCGTACTAGTGGCTTTACAAGATTGTATACACCATGCTATGTATCCTCAAAAACCCAATGTACCTTCTTGTATATAAATAAATAAATAAATAAATAAATAAATAAATAAATATGACATATTTTCTTAGGCCCTAAGCTATGGGAAGCTGTATGGGGGCAAACGTTGACAGTCTTTAACAGATCATAAGTTTGAGTAAGAGCTAAATTTTGCAAGAATAATGCAGCCATGATGCATAACAAATCCGTTGGGCTGGGAGAAAATGGGATAATAACTCAAGAACTTCATTCCAAGTGAGTCAGATGAGTGAATGTATTTAATTCATGAGTAAACAACACTGCAAACCTGGCATGACAAGCCGGATCTCATCGAAAATTTTAACAATGCTGAACAATTTGGAGGATATTGATCCAGGCAATTTCTTCAAAAGGTCAGATGTAATGCAAAAAAATGAGCAACGGTTTCAATCTCAACAAGCCAAATAGATAATGATAATAGATTCTCAGTGTATATACTAAAGTATGCAGAATAACCACATGTGAAAAATAGAGAATGCTTAACGCGTTTTCGGCTAATTCGCATTCATCAGAGCAAAGTAGAATGAAGATCTTCATTCTACTTTGCTCTGATGAAGGCGAATTAGCCGAAAACGCGTTAAGCATTCTCTATTTTTCACATGTGGTTATTCTGCATACTTGGATCAGTGTTTTTGTGATCATTGTTGCATACTAAAGTATATTTGCTAGTTGGACAGTAAGCTAATGCCACTATGCCACTCCCCTCCCGTTGTCGACAGGCTTTAAGTCCAACACCGTTGCTATGCTTAAAATATACTTGAATATAAATTTCTAACTAAAGGAAATAACAATTAATGTTTTGGAAAATATTTCTAATATAAATGTATTCTAAAACGTATTTATTTTTATTTTATTTTAGCACAAATTTGTTTGCGGTCGGACACAACCCAGTTGCAAGTGACGGTGTGAAGCTGGTGGCATCAAGGGCGCCTGGCAGCAAGTCATCAGGATCAACTCAAATACCCACCAAGATAACTCAAAAGCGGCCTCGCCCACTAATTGCGGAAGTTGTGTGTAGCTCTTGTTATCGCTACGCTGCGCAGTTGATTCCCATTCCCGTTACTGAAGGGAGTGCCACCACTGTCCTTGTGTCATTACAGGCCCCACGAATGATGCTGCGCTCTGCTTGAGCGCAAGGCAGAAGATCAATATAATTTAACTTTCCTGCTGGAGCATATAGATTAAATACATTGATGATCAAGATGCCCACATTAATCCTCATTCCACGATATTGTTGCCCTTAGTTTTATTTTTTCTGAAAGTAGCAGTGATGGACGGGTATTCGCAGACGAGTACCGATAGACTGGTAATCATAAACGAGAACTCACAGACGGGTACTCATACAGGAGTACTTACAGACCGGTAGAGTAAATCCTGGCAGATCTAGGTAAACTCAGATTTGAACTCGACCTCGTCTTTAATATTAGTCATGAACTTCCTCTCTATCAGGCAGATAATTCATAAAAACACAAGTTTATCCAAACTGCAGAGATACGTTATGCTTCTTTAAACCTGTTTGATCTGTGGAAGTCTTCATACTGGAGACGTTCTGAAAAACACCCTTATATACAAACTAAAATGCATGAAATTAACGAGAACACTCCACTCGTCAAGGGCACGCATGCGGGAGCCCCAAAGACCCATAGATCTCGTATTGTCCAAGCATTAGCCGACGTAACTGTGGAACCTGCTCTTATGCTGCATTCCATCGCTTATACAATAGATCAGGTATACCTGACGAATCTTAGAATAGACAAAATATGTTTGATTAGTTTTAAGTACAGCGCAGAAATTTGCAGAAACCTAGACGCAGGGAATCATACGGTGGAACAAGACGAAGTGCAGCGTTTAGCCTCAGATTACAATGTGTACTACCACTGGGCCGAGTACTTGCCCGCCTTGATTAGTTTGGCCATATTGGGCGCCTGGGGCGACACTAGGGGTCGCCGGCTTCCTCTTATCCTTCCTTTCATTGGCGGTCTACTCACGTCCCTTGCATTTTTGGCCAATGTTTACTGGTGGACTCTACCTGCTCCATTTCTCATCTTATCCAAGGTTCCTCTTGGGATCACAGGAGGAATGCTCGGCCTAGACATGAATGTTTGTGCCTACATGAGTGCCATTTCCAAAAACCGATCAAGAACTTTCAGGCTGTCATCCACAGAGTGGCTCAAATATGGTTGTTATCCATTGGGAACATATTTAGCGTTGCTTCTTTATGGCTATGGCGGGTACCTGGCAGTCTTCTTATTCCAAGTGCTGCTGTATGCTGCCGCCTTGGTGTATCTGGTGGTGCGTCTGGAGGAGCCGTCGTCCAAGAGGGAGGAAAACGGCCAAGCGGCAACTCGCAGTGTTTGCGAGGTATTCTCACCCTCAGCGCTGAAGAGGACGTTTACTCTCATATGGAAGCCGAGGGGATCAGGCGGTCGAACCTCATTAATTCTTCACACAGTAATCCTTCTCTTGGCGATATTCATGTTAGGTAAGTGAGCAGTTTTTTTCATCATTGCAAGTGACCAACTTATATTATATTATATATATATATATATATATATATATATATATATATATATATATATATATATATATATATATATATATATATATATATATATATATATATGTGTGTGTGTGTGTGTGTGTGTGTTGAATATGACCGAAAGGGTAAGATTAATAATTCTAACACGAATCTTCTCAATTTGTCTTATGTGGACACACATAAACAATATTCGAAGTATCAAAACTGACTATTTAGCTTGGCGCTTCTCACAGGCGTCAAGAACTACTACTTCCTGTACACAAGGAAGCAGTTTGACTGGGACTACGAACAGTACGCGGACTGGACTCTTCTGGATTACCCGGTGAAGGCCATTGGTGAGTAATTTTTCACATTTCACACAAATCTTGACACTTTTTCGACAACTTTGTTATTGACATAATAATGCTATGGAGCTATATGAAGCACAACATGAATACATGAACTTTGTGATATTATCCACATGTTGGTATTATTCATCTGATTACCTATCTTCTTTATTTCTTTGTAACTTAAGGTGCCAGTGTTTGTAATCATATTTATCCTTATCCACCTTTTCCACTACCGCCCACAAAATGGGTATAGAGTACATAATGAACTAACCTTGCTCGATTCCGTAGATTTTTTTAAACACATTTAAATTCCACAAGTGTTGATTTATCCTCTGTAGTTTTTTAAATTAGTATTCTTATATAAAAAATTAATACAAGTAGAGAAAAAGAAGCAAGAAATGTTGACCTATAATAATATACAGACCTTGGGAACATGTATTAATATAATTACAGACGTCATTAATGATTAGTGAATAGATTGCAGGTGCCATTAGTGGTTATGGGGCTTATTGTTAACCTTTAAGTAGTTACAATAGAATTTCTTGGAATGTGGAATAGTTTGTGATAATTTAAGCATCTGGCACATTAGACATAGTGATTTGCTATAATATATATTATTATTGATGTTCATTGTTTAAATATTGGCCAAGTTGCTTGCTGTAAATGAAGTTTTTCAACATTTTAGTTCCTCCTCATGTTCGTATCACTTTCTCAGGAACGTTGATTGTGGTTCCTTTACTGAGCTACTACTGTCGAGCTGAGGACAGTATGTTAATCTTTATTGGCTCCGTCTCAGCCATGTTTTTCTACGTTCTGTTCGGTACTGCGCCCGTTCCTTGGGTACTCTACTTTGGTAAGCACACGGAGGGTGGTGTAGTGTACATTGTCTCTTGCCATATTGGTGCTCTTTGCATATATTGCTCCCATGATCGAAAAACGGAACATTGTTTTAAGTAATGATGGATTTTTAATGAATTATAGTGTACATTAGATATACTTATATATAATAGGAATGCTTATTATTACAGCTTCTGCAGTGTCGTTCTGTAGTTTAATACCAGCAGTGGCTGCGCGAAGCACGATCTCTAAGGGGGTGTTGAGCAATGAGCTGGGCTCCATGTTCGCCTTGCTGGGGGTGACCCAGTGCGTCCTATTGCTGGTCGCTCCGTCGCTTTACACTCTCACGTACAACTTCACACTTGATTTCTTCCCCGGGACGCTCTTCCTCGTAATGGCAGGAGTTGCGGCCGTCGTGGGCTGCATTAGCGTGTAAGTCTTATCAGTTGTGAAGTTGATAGAGTGAAGGATACACATTTACCAATTCAGAAAGACATGACGGGTCAGATATCAACATTTAACTTAAAAGCCAAATAATTTGTTTACCATTGAACGAAGATTAGCACTCAACTTAAAAATGAATTGGTAAAACTCCGCCAAACAAAAGTCCTCAGCGCCGTAGTTTTATGTACTCCTACACAACTACACAAGGCCCGGCAGGGTAGGAACAGGGCACGCCGTCAGGGTTGCCACATTATAGGTAGGCCAATTGGGGGTCCATTTAGCCGAATTAAAAAGCCAGCTATGTAAATCGATATTTGCAATCTTTTGGGCTACTTTTAAAATAATCTTAATCCTTATGTACATTCTTGTATATGCATAAATAAATAAATAAATAAATAAATAAATAAATAAATAAATAAATAAATAAATAAATAAATAAATCTGGGCTATGTACTCTCAAAAGCGTATCAATTGCTAAAAAAAAAAAAAACATATTTGGCTACTGTAATACTTGGCTATAAAGATAAAGTGTAGGAATAGGTTTGAATAGCTCTTATATCTTCATTTAGTGTCTTGTGTCATCCTCTCAGGAGACGGTTACGCAAGCGTCTTGTATATAAATAAATTACCTTATCTGTTATATTAAGGATCTGCCGGAAACACTATGCGTGTTAGTGGCTTTGCAAGAATGTAAGGACACCAATGTTATGCACTCTCATAACCCAGTGTACCTTCCTGCATATAATAAACTAATAAATAAACTTGACGGAGACTTATCTTTTACAGGTGGATCCTGACTCATCATCAGCCTAGACAGCAATAGATATGCAGTCAATAATCATTCGTCTAAGCTTTTAAAGCTACCTGGTCACGGCAAATGTTCCAGGAGCATTTTTACAGGTTACTTTCGTGCATTGTGGGTTGCTGATGGTGACAAAATTGAAAACAAAATGTTGAAAAATCGCAATGTTTTCTTGAAACGTGTGCTTAGAAGCTCAATTTTTACACTGTGTTGAGCGTCAAAATTATCACCTGTGTGAGAGGTTATTAAGGCCCCGAACAAGAGCTTACTGGCTAAACAGTAAGTATACCTTAGCTTAGAACACAGTCCTCGTCAAAAGTAATATCTCGGTGTATATACACCGAGTAGTAGTGTACACCTCGACGGTGTATATATCCTGGTGTGGCCCTGTCCACTTATGCTGTGATGGACGGACTTGTTAGCCAGATGTGTCCCAGTACACTAATGCTGTGGTAGACGGGTTTACAAGCCAAATGTGGCCGAGTCCACTTGTCCTGTGGTGAACGGATTTATTAGCCAGATGTGGCCCTGTCCACTTGTCCTGTGGTGAACGGATTTATTAGCCAGATGTAGCCCTGTCCACTTGTCCTGTGATGGCCAGGTTTGTTACCCAGATGTGTCCCAGTACACTTGTCTTGTGGCGGACGGGTTTACTAGCCAGATATGGCCCAGTACACTTGCCCTGTGGTGAACGGGCTTCCTAGCCTAATACTGCCCAGGGTCAGGATTCATTATGGATTTGTGAGCCCTTTGAGGGACCTTAAATAGAGGGTAGAAACAGCCTAAGCTACTCTATTGGATAAGTTTAGATTTAGGAAAAATCTGGGTAAATACTGGTTCGGTAACAAGGTTGTTAATATGTGGAATCAATTTTGCAATTTCCTTCATTCTTATGTTCTGATCCTGTTGAGATGCAATTTATTGTTTCAATACACTTACTTGAACTTGATCTATGCCCGAAACGCTATGCGTGTTAGTGGCTTCGAAAGAATGTAAAAACATCAATGCTATGTACTGCACTCTCATAAATCCAATGTACCTTCTTGTATATAAAAAATAAAAAATATAGATGACCAGGATTTCCGCAGCACACCAGAAATAAAACGTGAACTGGCTCCCAAATGCAACAGGATAATCAGCGGAAAGGATAATGCAAAATATCCAGACCCCCATGGACGTCGACGCCGACACCATGCACCTTTACAACGACCTCTGGGGCCAGATTCACGAAGCAGTTACGTAAGCACTTGCGAACCTGTACATCTTTTCTCAATCTTTGGCGGCTTTGTTTACAATTATTAAACAGTTAATGAGCTCCGAAGCACCAGGAAGCTGTTTATAACAATAACAACAGTTGATTGGGAAGTTTTCATGCTTGTAAACTGTTTATTAAATATAACCAAAGCCGACAAAGATTGAGGAAAGATGTACACGTTCGTCACTACATGCGTAACTACTTCGTGGCCTCTGAACTACGCAAGGAGTACTATGACCCGAATACCACAAGACAAGGTGCGTGGGCCACCGTCCTGTACCTCTTCCCTCCACCTCGCAACCCGTTCCCTACTCAAATTGTCTCCATCCTCGCTCCAGCCTTCCGTTCCCTGCTTACCAGCCCTATCAACGATTCAATGGTCAACGATTCACGGGTGACCGCAGTGGCGATACACTGAGACTACCGAATTTTAGCCTAAAACAGGTAACAGCGGAAGGATGATTATCCCCGCCACGAGAGAAAACCCCCTAAAACGTTTGACAGCGCTGGGCGAACTTGAGAATTTGACCCTAAAACGGGCAACAGCGGTGGGCCAACGGGCAACAGCGGTGGGCCAACGGGCAACAGCGGTGGGCCAACGGGCAACAGCGGTGGGCCAACATGACCAAAACAAAAATATTTGCCCAGCGCGGTCTTTCCCTCTACTAAGGCTTACGATGAGCTATGGGAAGGGAAAGCTCTCAGCTTGCTAACAAGTGTCTGAAGTTGTTTACTCCTATACCCATGCCTGTCTAGTTCCACCGTCTTCCCGGGAGATAATTGTTCAATAATCACTTACCTTATGGGGACTCTTCGGATCCAGCAGTTGACGACACTTGTCACGCACCTAAAAATAACATATTTACTTATATTAAGGATGAACATATAAAGTTTATTTCAAATACAATCGAGTAATAAAATACAAATATGACATTTATGAACACTAAAACCAATCACTGGAAAAGGTAAAGCTGTAATAGAGATTAATTGCAGATTTTATCAATAGTAAGGAACTGGCAATTCTAATTAGAGTACAATAACTGAACGGAAGTCCTTCGTGTCTTGGACTCATGAGGTTGTGGTTAAGCATAAAATGATCTCTTCAAATTACAAACTAATTATTTTATTTGGATTCCGCTAAATCAAAACCTCTAGCTAACCTTGATTAGAAGAACTGTGTATTATTACTCCATTTAACGTCCAGTAGTCTAAATTACTTAAAACAAAATTATTTGAACAATTTAACTACATTGCATGATCTATAAGCCCTAAACCAACGGTAGAAGACCTACTGGTTACATGGTCAATAATGAGGATATCACAGGTAACTCCATTTATGTCGCAGATTAAATAATATCGAAACAATTAACAATTTATCTGCACAATTGCCATCCTGATATGACCACTCCACTGCCCTACCCGTTAACATACTAACCCACACACTAAAAACAACCTCGTGTGACTTATTGGTAAACATTATATACCACCCACTAGCTTAGCTAGAAGATACGTAATGCATATTACCAAGCTACCTTTAATGCCATAATGCAGCAATGTGTGTTCAAAATAAAGTTATCAAAAGTCCTCAGGAACCATGGGGTTACCTTTGACAAGCCGCCGACTTCCTGTCACCGTAGAAGTCACTATAGAGATATGGAATTGGCCTTCAGGTTCAAATAAATATGACCTAGGAGTTAGGATTGAAAGTTCCTTAAAGGTTCCAGTCATTGAAAGTTCCACAATTATTGGAGATGCATTAAAAATAAAACCCAGCCCTTGGAAAGTCAAACGAATCTTAAACTTTAACGTAAAGAATGATTATTCAACTGTACACGTCTCTGGTGTGCTCCTATCTAGACTACTGTAGCCTAATATGGAGACTTTACCTTTAAAAGGAAAACATATCTGCTTTACTGTTTTGTAGAACGTTCAACACAGAGCTACAAAAATCCTCCTAGAACTAAGTCAACTCTCCTACCGCATACGAATGTTTGAAAGGCACAAGACTAACAACCCTGCAAACAATACATAACAGCTGAGGCCTTTATAATACTGAACAAGTTGGAGAATATTAATCCAGACTACTGCTTTAAAAGGTCAAATGTAACACATATAAGGGGATGACAGCTTCAAGCTCAACTAACCACAATGTAGGACAAAAAATACATGTCGTTTCTGTGGTTTGGTCATCATATCTTCAGCAACGTTATTGAGCTCATCGTCTGCACATATGCCTCTTAATCCATTAAGCTACCGGTTTCCTATCCTCATCAAGGCCACTAGAGAATGTGGCTCTTAGGTAAATTCATCATACAAGATCATTCTGAATTATGCTCATTATACTGACCTACATTCCCCCCCCCCCCCCACACACACAATCTGATATGCTCCTGATAAATGATCCTGATTCTCTCACTCTCTTATCCAAATTTATCGTTACATTTCATTTTCCACGTTTTTAAATAAATCAAAATGTCTTTAATTTGTATTTGGTGTTGGGCTTAAGGCTGATCATTGGTATGGTTATTAAGGCCACCACAAGAGCTCTAATGACCAACCAGCGGGGGTACATCTGTGGCTGTTAGCCACAGATGTACCCATGGCTATTTCTGCCTAAATACATAAAATATCAAGAATAATGGTGAATAACATAATATTAAGGTCACACAGGAACACAATCCTTTATTTTCATTCAGTATTTAAACAATTATGGGTGTAACATCGATTTATTGTACTCACGGTTAATCAATTTGCTCCTTGCCAGCCTCTACCTCGTCTGCAACTGAACTCTTTGTTTATTTTAAGAAGTGGTAGACCGGACACAGACTCGCCCTTGGTTGACCATAATGTACGAACTGTCAAGCTGTAACACAGTTAAGCTTCTGACCACCAGAGGCACTAATGTTTTCTTGTTATTACGCGGTCAATATGGTGATTGCTTTCATTGTTAGTGCAACAATTCCGTACTTTCATGTTGTATTCGGATAATTTCTGAAATTTTATGAGCAGCGGATTGTGTAAATAATATCATATGCATTTTGCTTTTAGTACGAAATTATATGGCAGATAAATTCTTATGGTCATGCAGACAGTAAGTCACAATAACACTGTTGAATATTACATACCCGACCCACACTTGGAATTAAAGGAAGTTCAAGTACGTTTATTGAGACTAAAATCATCTCAAAAGGATATAGTAGCGTAGGCTATTTCTAGGTTTTGGTCCTGTACCTTCGTAAAGACGTGTAAAGAAAGGGAGATTACTTTACCTTCTCTCCTTTCACCTCACATTCTTATTTTATATATATTGACTTTCTCCACTACTCTTTCTTTACACAAAGTGATATAATATATGCAGTACAGGGCGAACTAAGTAAGTAATTATCAACAGAAGGCACCAAGCCGGGAAGGCTATGTAGCACCATCAAATGTGCGGAATAATCATAGGGCGCTAAATATCACTAAGGATATCAATATGAGAACAGAAACGCACAAAGCGAACGATATCAAAAGTATTCGATTCACGAAGGATTCTATCAAGGGACAAGTGACCGCGAGGGACGGTCGGGAATTGAGCAAGACACACGAGCGTCCTGACATTCAACAAGAATATGCACGACTGTAAGAGGGACAATGCAGTTTGGACAATAAGGAGCAGGGGTGGCACTCCATTGAGTGTCCGTAAGTTAAGCGTGTATAGCCATTATGCAACCTCGCCAGAGCTGTTTACCACCACCGGTTACGGTGGTAGGAAGAAGGCCATGGGGACACACTACTCTTAAAGAGAACACAGTTTGTTACTAGTAACAGAAGACCAACAACCTTGCCAACGGGCAAGAATAGAGGAATGAATAACTGGGTAAAAGTCGGAATAAGGAATACCTTTACAGGAGATGGAACAAGTGCTGATAGCTTCATTAGCAGCAGCGTCCGCACGTTCATTTCGGAACACACCAGTATGGCTGGGAACCCAGCAAAATTCCAGTCTTAAAACTACTGGAGATAAGAAACAGCCAATGCTGAATCTCCACTATCACCGGATGGACTGGATTAAAGGACTCCAGAGCCATGAGGTCGCTGCGAGAGTCAACTACAACAACAAAGAAGGATTGACAGCGAGAAAGCAGTTGACGAAGAGCGTAGAGAATAGCATAAAGTTCTGCCGTGAAGATGCTAGTCTCCGGAAACAGACAACACATATAGGTGTGGTCAGGAAAAACAACAGAGTAACCTACACCGTCTGCAGTCTTAGACCCCATCGGTGTAGACGGAAATGGAGTGAGAGTGTGAAGAAAATTGTTCAAGGAAAAGGCGTTTCAGAACTGTAGGAGGGG